GGCGTCAGCGATCTAGTTATAGTTTGTCAAACATATATAACTAGATCGTTGTAAGAGATCTATCATCCAACTCGTTCTAATCTTCCTTCGCCATAGTAGTCGGTTTCTTCGACTTCCCGAACAAAGCCTTCTTCAATCCACTCTGTATCAATACGACGATCATCCTAACTAGCCAAAGGCTGAAACTGATATTGACGTCAAACTTTTCAATATCCTACTTTATAGTAGTTGTTATCATCTTCTCGTCTAATAGATAGTTGAGGGCTCTGATACCAATTTGTTATGACAAACTCCCCAGGATAAGAGCTAATATCAATCACACAAGAGCACGAAAAATATCAAGAACACACGTACACAAAGATATACGTGGTTCAGCTTGTAGCCTACGTCCACGGGCGAAGGAGGAGAAAAGCTTTATTAAATTGTGAGGAATACAAGGTGGAATCTCTCAATCCTAAATAACACATCAAAAACCTAATACAACTCTCAACTAAAGGAACAAAAGAGAAGAATATCAAATAGGCTTCACAAAAAAAACTCTTAATTTCTTCTTGATTGGTGCTCTGAAGATTGATGAATCTAATTGGCTTAAAAGACTGTTCTTATATAGCCTTGAAGATCTCAACCCATTGTTGTCTAAGGAATAAGAGTTCTGATAGGAATAGAAGTCCACATTCCTAAAACCCAACAAGAGTCCAAGTAGAAATAAACTTCTAATATGATTGGTTGTGAAAAGTCTAATGTAAGTAGGACTCTTGATCAAAACAAACCAATCTAAAAAAAATAACTCCCAAAGTAATATGGAATTGAATATTTAAGGCAGCCTATAACATAAGATGGCAAGCAACAAAATAATCAACTTTTTTCTTTCATTAATAAGGATTTAAAACACCCCAAAGCTGATAAACCATATAATATCTTCTCTTATAGAAAGTCGTGGGTGTTCAAGTTAGAAACAAAGTAGTGATTTGTAAGTTTAAAAAAATTACTCACTGCGGGCTACTCGGATTATTTGGAGGTTTCAATATGGCTCTTACGGTTGTGAGTTCGATTCAGACTGGGTTATCAACAAAACACCCCAAAGCTGATAATCTTTCATTAATAAGGATCTAAAACACCCCAAAGCTGATAAACCATATAATATCTTCTCTTATAGAAAGTCGTGGGTGTTCAAGTTAGAAACAAAGTAGTGATTTGTAAGTTTAAAAAAAATTACTCACTGCGGGCTACTCGGATTATTTGGAGGTTTCAATATGGCTCTTACGGTTGTGAGTTCGAATCAGACTGGGTTATCAACAAAAAAAAGTTTCAATAGTTTTAAAATCTTTAGTTACACTATGCATTAATATTAACCTTTAGTAGTTAATTAATAAATATTATTATAATAATAGAGGTTCTCATACTTGATCTCACTAGAGCTTTTCTTAATGGAGGTTCTCATACTTAAGCTCACTAGAGGTCTTCTTTATTAAAAAAAGCAAGAAAAAATAACTATTACTTTCAATAGATAAGAGTAACAAATTAGAAGGTCAGCAACGTGACAATTACGGTGTATACATGCATTAAAATAAAACTTGAAATCTTGTGACCATATTGATTATTTCAATGTGCACAGTCACTCTTATTAGTCTCATTGGACGCATTACATGATTAACAATAATGATGTAATATCTCTTTTATATATAAAGAAAAATTGATAGAACTCTTAACAAAATTTTGACAAGTATGCATGTTTTTTAAAAAATTCATAATCATTTATTTAAATATAAAATATATTCACTTAGAAATCCTCATTAAATTAAACCAATTTATAAGTAGAACTCATAATTGAATATTTTATAATCCTTATCAGATTATATTTATCCATATTTATTAAAAAAACTCATAATCATATCTTTAAATATAAAAATTAAAAAAAATCATGTAGAGAGTTTCTCTACATAAAATAATGGATCAATTTTAAAAAAGTCCCTCAACTATTACAATTTGAGGAAAAAAAAAACCCTCTCAAGTTTGAGCATATATTGTAAATAACCCTTCTCAACTATGAAAATTTGAGATAATCTCCTGAACGATTCTCACTTAACCTCCCTCAAATATGAGATGTGTCTGAAAAAATCACCTAAACTATTTTAATTTGAGAAACCCCTCTCAGATTTGAGCATAGATAACCACCTCAAGTTTAATATTTTGAGAAGTCTCCATGAATTCTTCTCATTTTATACTCTGAAAGCTAACATCGTTATGTCTAGCATGTCATATGACAAGTAAGTGACTAAAAAAAGACAAAAATATGCCTTAATCGTAAAGAATTATTCTGATTTTTTAAGGATGAGAGAAACAGAGTATAAAGATGGGGGGAAAGTATTGTAAACTAATCAAAGATCTTTTTCACTAGTTGGGGTTTCTTTGTAACTAAATGGGTTGATTTTCAAAAGCATATTTCAGTCATTCGACATTCTGAAATGACGTAGCGTGGTTTGGTGAGAAAAGTGTGAAAAATTAAGGGTTTTTTGTGAAACACCCCATAGTTGAGGGGAATTTTTTTAATTTTTAAAGTAGAGTGGAGTTATCTATATATAGTATGCCCAAACTTGATGGAGATTTTCTCAAATCGAAGTAGCATGTGGAGAGGTTTTGGGGGACAGTTCTGAGACATTCGCCATTGAGATGTTCGCCATGTATATCTCACCTGTGCGAGCACGGGCAAAATAATTTGAAGTATAACTAAATCATAGTACTTTTCTCTATGACAGCTGGTGCAAGGAATAACATATAAAAATTGACGGCTTACAAACTTACTAAATTGGACTCGGTGAAATATATTAGAAGGACTACAAGATAAAAATAATTAGTTTCGTGTTGGTAGCTAATCTTTGAACATTTAACCCCATATTTTCCAACTTTACCTGCAGAACCAAGATATTTTGTCCTCCAATTTCAAGTATTTCATTTTGACCCAACATCTTCTTTTTTGTATGGCAGCTTATTATCGTAGTACTTGATGGACTAGTTTTAAAGTTTTCAGTACATTTTTGTTTGTGACCGCTGCTTAGAATCTTTACCTACCAAAGATAAAAATAATGACAGAGTTTCCACGATTAAGTAAACTGTAAGCCTGCAAGTAAATCTAACTAAAAGTCTTGTGAAGACGAAAGCTATGACTAATCAAGCTAAGATTCCTCAATATATAGGATGATTCAATCCTGGCTATAAATGTTATTATGGATGTAGCACGCATGCGTGCACGCGTGGGATTCTTCAAGATGGGCCACGTCAATTTAATTAATTAACGTACGTACGTTATGAAATGATAAAATTAATAATAATATTGTCTACAGGTGCATGAACCCTTCAAGGCTTCAACCCAAGTGGCGTGGAAGAGACGAAATATAAACCATTATATGTAAATTTATAGCAATAGAAGAAATAAAACTTATCTCAATATTTTTCAAACTGATGTGCAGAATGCAAGCTTATTACACAATTAACACCAAGAATTCCTGGAGGATGCATAATGTTGTATATATATATATATATTTATAACTATATTTATGTTGAGGTTGTTAATATGTGAGTATAGTCCCACATCGGATGAGATAAGAAAGAGTGATGAGTTTAAATAGGAGTTTAGGTCAATACCAGATATTTATATATTTTGGGTTAAAATTGATTTGGGCCTGATTTCTCCCCCTACAATTTATTCTAGATATGAACTAATTAGAAACAAAACTTTAAATGATTTCGATGTGTTTGAATCATATATTAACAGGTGAAAAATCAAGGACATTATGAAAATTTTGACGACATACTATACATAGGTTAATGGTGTTAAAATCCTTTCAAATTTTATTTCTAGATAGTTCATATGTAGTAGATCACATCCACCGGTTAGGATTTTACTTTTTGGATTTCGAACTTAAAAATTAAATTGATAGTATCCGCACGATTGGATGAATACTATGGATAGTAGTCTATGTTGTATTTAATAATTCTGTAATAATAAGAATAGTTGTAAAACAGGCTAGAATCTGCTCTAAATAATTATAATAAATAGTATAAAATTATCATCGTGCAAAATACGAGCATACTAATGCATATATGAAACTACCATGGACTAATTAAAAATATTATTATTGAGGGTCCCGCTAGTTGCGTTTTCCTTTCTATTTGTGGTCTTCGTTCTTCATTTCTTTTCAGGTGGCACTAGGGGCACACCCCCAACCACATCCTAAACCACACCCATCTCTTATATGCTACAGTGCATTGAGCCCCACATGGGATTTTAAAATTCCTAAACCACACCCATCTCTTATATGCTACAGTGCATTGAGCCCCACATGGGATTTTAAAATTTTAAAATTCCATGTGGGGCCCGGTGTACTGTAGCATATGAGAGAGTGTGGTTTGGGATGTGGTTGCGGGTGTGCCCCTATCATTTTCCTTTCTTTTTTGTACGACATGCCTTCATCTTTCTCCGAGAGATCAGGCATGTACTTTGGCGTTCTTATGTTTGTCCTCTTAACTTCGCTGCAGTAGTTTTCTTTAAAGGACATGGTGTAGGTAACTTTTGAACTCCTTCGGCAGAGAAGACGCTGGCATTCAAGAAAATGCTTGGAATGCGGATGTTTAAGCATAGAAGATGATGGATAGTATCATCAGCGTAACAAAGATTGTCGAGCCACCATCATCATCAAGAGTTCTTGGCTTACGGAACAAAGAAGTAGAATAAATATCACCGAGAAAATGCAAATTTCACGAGAGTTGATGAACCATTTCAGTAATACAGAAAACCGTGTTTTGAGTATCGAGAGAGATCACAGCTTCTCCTTCTGAAGCGAGAACATATGTACAAAATTTCACCAGCACCACGGCTGTAAAGAATCACAACATTTTAGCCAAACATAATTTCACTAGAGCTGGGTATTTGACAGCAATGGCTAAATACCAAAACTGATGAGACACAAGCTCAAACTCTCTCCTTTAAAAAAAAAAACGGCTACCAAGCCCATCCAAGAACCCCTCAGTCTGCCATCCTCACTTCTTAAAAGCTTCAGATAACTAAAAACTAAAATGCGTACCGGCTACCAAGCCCATCCAAGAACCGATCAGTGTGCCATCCTCTCTTCTTCACTTCAGATATGAACGAGGGAAATACGCTCTCCATCTGCTCATGGGCCAGGCCCATAACATCCCGCTTCGGCCCAGCAGATGATTTCTGCATCTCCGCAGCGAAAGCAGCCATCAACCAACCCCTCAACGCATCTTCGCCAGATGCACCGTGCTCCAGAATCATGTCAGTGTGCTTGGTCTTACGACTGATGATAAACTTCTCATTAGGAATTATTTCTCTCAATTCCTCCAGCTTTGAAGGGTTCTCAACAATTTTACGGAGTGGTTGCCCGACCTTCACGCTTCCTGCTTCTTCTATTAGGCGATCAGGAAAGACGAGGTTCTCTCGGTATCTCAAGTCAGCTGGGCTCGATATTTTCCCAGTCTGAGATGGTAGAGAAGAAGAGATCTAAGATCAGTGTATATATGGGATTTTGGATGTCGGGTTTTAAGAGATGGACGCTGTATCTTACCTTAAGAAAATCCGCTACAATCATAGCCGTCCTCTGGGAATTCAATGTGTTCACAGGGGCAGCTCTCATTTCTTCTGCTACACTGTAAATATGTATGGCAGATAGAAGAGGAGCTGCAATCAACTGCAAGATAGGAAATTACAATGGAAGTTAGTAGTAGTTACAATAAGAACCTAAGGACATCATTTTTACATGTTTATTGCTAAATAGTAACCTACAAGAAATATAACTGGCGGAATGCAGTTACGAGTGTTGGAACTTGAAAGATTTTTTCTTGTTCCGCTTGATGAAACTAATAGAACATATAGTGATTTCGCTCGTTCCGCTTGATGAAACTAATAGAACATATAGTGATTTCGCTCATTCCACTTGATGAAACTAATAGATGGTATAGTTCACGCCATAGTTTATGGAAATGAATGGTGTCCTGAATCATACCCAAAAAAAACGTGCACACACGTGGATGCCTTGCCACCACCAGCAGATTTTAAGTGGAGAGAATTGGTTGCTGTGCTTACAACTCTAAGCTAAAGATACTTATTCACGACCTCCATCATGTCCATCCATGTGCCCGTCTCTTTTCTACTGGTTAGCACATCTAGACAGTGTATTAGCCCCTAGCATCAAGAGAATCTCTCCACTCAAAATCTGAAGACGACCGTTGCCATCAATGTAGTAAGATTCCATCTATACTTTAACACAGGGCCGTAACCTATCAAATGACATCGAATTTGAGGATATAATTGAACACCTAGTAATCTGTAGAAATAAGCTTTGCTCTTTTGTTTCGTTTTATTGTTTAGAGATGAGTGCAATCCCTAACAACCAAAGGGTGCTCCTTTGTTGTGTGAAGTTAACCTGCATTCCCAAGGAATTGTCGGCTTGACTGTCAATGGCCTTCAACGACTGATGTCATGCCCCTCTTTTCTACCAATTGGCATCAGATTGATATATGGTCTTAAAAAAAGGTGAATTCTTTGGTGTAGTTTCTTGACTTTAACTCATGTTCCAGAAGTAAGAGGGTTCTAATATTGCTGCTGATAATGATGAACTAACCATGTAAATTAACCACGAAAAGTTCTTCTTCAACATCATAGCATGGCTGAAGTGATGAGCCTCTGTTGCAATCCATAAATCATCTTAGGGGGTGTTAGTCAATTGGGACATTTTCATGCAAAATGGGATAATTGTTAAAGTTGAATAATATTTCGCTAGTGGGATATTTTAGTGGGATAACTAGGAACAATTTTGTGAAGCGGGATATTTTGATAAAATAACGTGGGATAAATTTTTATAATCATGAAGTATATATTTATGCATTTTGAAGATATAAATATTATTTATGTATTTTAAACTTACTACTATTAATTGATAATTGCTTACAAAAATGTTCGTTACTATTAAAATAACTTTTGGTTAGACTATAAGATATTGACAATTGTTATTATGATGATGGTTTAATGATGGTGATAACCATAATAGGAAATAAGTAAAGAAAAAAATAAAAAATAACAAAATAAATACGAGTTCTAGTTTTTTTACCACATAGTTCCAAGCTAAAACTTGGAATAATTTGAGAGACTAGAACTCTCATTTTTATATAGAAAAATAAAAAAAGTGGGATAATTTTATACAATTATCCCAATTCTAGTTTTGTTAAAGTTTTGCTTGACTAACACTGTAAAATTTTATTCTAGTTTTAGTTCTATGTGACTAACACCTTAAAATTTTGTTCTAGGTTTAGTTCTATGTGACTAACACCTTAAAATTTTATCCCACAGATTATCCCAGTTCTAATTTTAAGTTCTAGGTGACTAACCCCCCCTTATTGAACTTGACTTCTTAAGGATCAGATTGTGCTGACGCTACCATGCAAATCTACTTATGTCCTATATTGATTATAAATTATAATAAATAGTGCCATACTTCTCCTTAAGATTACACAATTGCATTTTAGTCCTTTATGATATTTCACTACATCTTCTGACAATGATGCACAGCCATAAAAAGCCGACAGTGCTACAGGAGAGGGATGGTGTGCAAGAGAGAGATGGTGTGCAAGGGAGCGAATAATACATTAATAGTACAGGTTCACCATTTATCATTTCTCACCAACCTGCACCAGAAGCAGGAAACAGTACCACAGACAATAATCCATAGCTTCGGGACTTGGCAGTTAACAATTGGAGTTAGAAGCCAAGCTGTGGTCAGGTGGTGGTGGTAGCAGGGCTAAATATGGGAACAAGATGTAACAGCCATTTCATTTCTTATTTTTACTTCCAACCTGTATATAGGAGGTGCAACCAATTTCTTCCCGTTTGCCTCTCCTGACATGTAAATTTTATAACTACTTATTCTGATTCCAGGATATCGATATACTTCTGGTATATAAAATGGTTTCAAATTCATATACATTTTCTGATAGTTGAAATTCAACATGTGAAAAATGGACTGCAGAAACAATCATACATTTATAAGAAATTATAACAAATATTCTTGTTCTGAACTACGCACAATTAGATGTTATAGAGCATTCCATCTAAATCCTATATTTTCAAACACTACTAGTTACTAATCTTCTAATGCACAGCAAATACAAGATTTCTCAATCCACAAGGAGATGAGACTTTCTTAGTAGATTATGACATCATGATATACATTTCAATGCGGAGAAATGATGCTATGGCGCATATTTACCTTTCCTTGAGTTGTTGAACAAATTGTGGATGCTAGTTGGATACCAACCCCCATTCCAAGAACATTAAACAGGGTTGAGATGGCCTCCCCTTTTGCAAACAGGTCGCTAAGGTTACCTTCTTTGGCAAAGGAAGAATAAATTGGGAGCCTTGTTGCCCTTGCTGCAACAACGGCCATTCCCTATATAAGAAAAACATCTATTAGCAAGCAAAAAACTATTAATTTAATATTGGATTAAATAATTACCATGATGAACCATGGATTAAGGTTTGTGGAAATCTTGTCCCAGCCTCACTGCTTCATCGCGGTTTCAGTGAAGACCGATACGAACTAACAGAAATTTCAGTTTTGTTAAATTTTGATTACACATAATTGTGTCAGTTTCAGACTAGTTTAGGACTTCTACTTTCACATAGATAAATTTTGGAGTAAACTTACTGATACCTACCAAAACCTAAAAGGAAATTCAAAAGCAAGAAATCAAGACTAATGTTCATAGCTCTTAATAATTTTATCTATCTTTAACTTCCATAGATAACCCAAAATCTGTAAACCCTACATCCTAATTCATCATAATTTAATATACTCCTCTATTATTTCAGACTAATAATATACATATTAATTTGGACTGTTTTTAGGTTCTCAATCATGTCATAAGTTCACTTTTCTCCATCTAACACTCACTTAGCCTACATGATTATATTATACACTCCTCAGACACCATACGTGTAAAGAACCAAACATGGATACATATCTAGTGGCCATACGCATTTAGCCAATATATTAACATACACAAAATCAGATCTAAAACTCAAAACTAAAACCATTGAGACTGCCACAGACTGGTGAAGCCTGTCAACCTTTTTGCATAAAGAAGGTCCAAAACTGAAACTGAACCCGTGCTTTCAAACCTTTGTGTGACCAACTAGCAATATTCACTAGCCTTAAAACAATTAAGAAACGTTGACTTTCCTTACTGCTTAGAGGTTACCATCCTCAAGTGATTTGTCCACCGTGCCTTCTAGGCTAATTGGATTTCGCTTTTTCTCAGCCAGGTAAAAGAGAATACTGAAGGTGATCACCTTCTTGGAACATTAGCATAATACATATCACATCAACCATGAGACACAAAGATGTGCCACATCACTTACTGATTTATTAATGAATAGTAGTGAGTTATCTTACCATTAATCCCATGACTTGTCCATTTTAGTTCACCTTTAATTTGATTTCCACCTTTATTACGCCTAAAGCTGTTCATAATACCACACAACCCAACCCCCACCCTAATCCCCAGTTCTGTGTTTGAGTTTTTACTGCTTCCCCCGATACTTTGCTCCAAACTGCCTCTAATATTTTTTACATTAAATCAATAAACAACAAAGTCTTTATCACAAAGTAATGGTTGTATTTTGCATCAAATACTTTCTCTTTGTGAGATCTTAAAACTATTACTAGAAAATGCTTGATATAACCCAAACACTTGGTTTAAGTCTTAACAGAAACTGCAGGGTTCATTACGTCCAAGTACTGTTTAGCAACATTTAAAAGATGACAAAGGCAGAGAATCATCCAAGATAAAGAAATTGCCTTGGCAAAGTTCCCCAGGCCAGCCATTTCCAGGAAAAGATGTGGACACAAAGGCGAAATAACTTCCAGACCAGTACCAAAATCATATAGCACATCAGCTGTAAGATAAATATGAGCACATTTTAACTATGATAGACTATTAAAATAAGAAAACAATCCTTTCATGAAATTGAAATAATTAAGATGGCAACAGACCCAATATTCTCCAGCTTTTTGGCTCTGAATCCATTCTCGCACCCATTCTGCTACATATCAATTTCCCAGCATGTTGCATCCCATCTTTTAGAATCTGTCCGGAGAAATACTTGAAAATTTAGAACAAATTCTCAAACACGCAATGAACTCCCGCATGTGTTGTCATTTGGAATAAAATTATATATCATATCTTACCCAGCTAACAGCAGTTGACTGAGCAGGAGTAGGTCGCAAGCCTGCAGCAAATAGGAGCGACTGAGCCAGAGCCCACATTTGTAGTCAGTCCAAAGGCATGCTACAAAGCATATAGACCAAGCTACATGATCAAAGCATGTAATATGCAGCTTGATAAGCATGTAATATCCCTAATTTCCTAGTGGTAAGAAGTCTAAGTTATTATTTGTTTGAATAGATATCCCAAACAACGGAGTTAATAATATTAATTTATAAATATAAGTGTGTAAGAGGACTTTTATGCAAAGGAAGAATAATAGCTATGGAGACATATTTTTGCTTATTAAGGGGTTTGTTGCAATTAGAACTTTTTGTTAAGGGGTTTATTGGATTTGGATACCAAATAAAAGAGAGAGATTAAAACCTACCTGCGTCCTTTTGAGAGCCGGCAACAAAAAAATAAAAAATAAAATAAAAACCCTACCTGCGTCCTTTTGAGAACCGGGTGTTTGCGTCGGGAATCAGTTTCATTGCAGCTTCCATTTACAACGTTTATCGTTTACAATAGAAACAAAAGAGTGAGCTTTTTTATAAGACTTCTCTTTACAAAGAAAAAAAATAGAAAAAATCTCTAGAAACACACGCAGAGACTATTTATTAGTCGCTGCTTGCGTGAGATCTTTGCCTGTGTCGGGGACGCTTTAGCCCGTGGACTACCGATTCAACGATCCGGATTGATCGTGAAGAATGCTTGGTGTTCTTGTTTCGTTTTAGAAACAAGAACAGAAGTGGATATCTCAACAAGGTAAGATAAACACTCTTCTTCAAATCAAAGCGATGTTTGAACTCAAGGAAACGACTGAAGGCCTTTGGATCTCTCGAATATGATGCTCAGAATTTCGCCAAGATTTCTGTCTCTCCCTTTGAAATTCATGAGTCCTTGCTCTCAGATCTGCCAAAACGTCAGTCCGTTCGCACGTACATCAGTGCCCTTCACAATTGCGTGAGGGGGATATTTATAGGCCTCGGAAGCCGTGTTTAGAGATAAGAATTTGTAACTGACCATCAATCTGGTGGATTTTCAGTTTATAACGGCATCCCCGCGTTTATGAATGTTCCCAAACAGTTATGGAGCCGCGTGTACCGCACAAAGTTCGAGAAAACTATCAAAAAACATGTCTTGTCACGTCACTATTCCTGAGATAGCTCGGGCTGTCTCGGCCAGCGAGACACCTCAGATTGTCTCGGAATTCGAGACAACTCAGTTTGTCTCACCAATTGTGAGACAACTTTGAGCCTTGTCGTTTTGTCATTTTGCGCACTTCTTTGTATTGGATGATCCTCTCTGACTTGGATGACGACGTTCTTCGTCTTGAGTTGTGTTTGGGACTTATAGACAAGTTTTGACGCCTACACCGAGGACAAAAAAACCTGTGTAGAAGTCAAGTGAAGTGTGGAGATAGATTATTCTCAAGGTAAATTTGGTTGTAAAAGCATGAAAACTTGGGTCAATGTGTCCCCAAATGGTTGACTTTAGTTGGGGGGTGGGGATGCATGACCCAATTAAATTTGGTTCCCCCAAGCAATTTTCCCTTTTTTTAATCATTAGGGCTTGTCTTGATTGTTTTTTTTTCTTATTGGGATCATGGCCATGGTGTAGCCGTATTGTTGCTGCTGATGGAAAGTTTTATATGTGATCAAATATATCTTAGCACATGACCATCTTTTATATTATTAAATCCATAAGCTACAAAAGATAGATGATAGGTGCATATAGTTTTTGACTGCGGACTATAGGTCACAAAAGGTATTTTGGTTGATTTTAGATTTATATGTTGTGCATATAGTTTTTGACTGCGGACTATAGGTCACAAAAGGTATTTTGGTTGATTTTAGATTTATATGTTAGATTGAAAAATGTATTATTAGCATATTAGGTCACAAAAGGTATTTTGGTTGATTTTAGATTTATATGTTAGATTGAAAAATGTATTATTAGCATATGTGTTGATTATTCTAATATATGCTTGAGTCTTAAGGTATACAATAGCATTGAAGGTTATTAACATGTATTCTTCATGGGTTCCATGTGACTCCGAGGAGGTGTTGTGAGGGGTAGTTGGATTATTTTTTCGGACTTGAGGTAAGTGGTGAATTTGTACATTATTAATTGTGTATTTTTTTATATAAAATTACATTGACTATATGTAAGTTTGTTTTGATGAATTATACCTTTTGTATGGTTGCTCGCAAACTAATTGTTGATTGGATTAACGCACATGGTTATTTGGTATAAGTCTATGCTTATTTTTTTTGTCAATTGTTATGTCTTTTCATATAGTAGTAGGCTGAGATGCATATGTTGTTGATTGATTTCACTATTGGTTGGCATTTGGTATTTTTGTATAATATACTTTGTTTTATTTTGTTAAAGCATATGCATCTCAGGCCAATATATCGGTATATATCGAATATAAGTAAGTAATTAAAACAATGCTCAATGTGCCTCTATGAGGTTTTATTTTAGCGCTAATAGCCCAAATTTGGGTCTTACCGTCCCGAAACCACGAACTTAATAATTGTGGGGTTTACTGAGTCAACCGGAGTATAAAGTGTTGACCGCATTGAGACGTGACATTCTTATTTCTATTTCACGATTTTTAAGTTTTCTTAAATATTTGAATCAAATACTAGAGTTCATTGATGATTCTCTATCATTCTTGTATTTTGCTTATTATTTGTCAAAATATTTTAATTTTTGCAAAACTAGTGTTCAATACTTCAATGTAGGAATTTATCCACTTATTGAGTTGTAAACTCATTGTGTCGTTTTCATTCTTTTCAGAGACTCGGGATTAGGTGGAATTGATGATTTTTTTTCAAATTCTTAGAACGTAGCAAGGAATAAAATTCGAGATTGTTATTGTCTTCCAGGGAATGTTAAATAAAGTATTTAATGTTAAGTTGATAAATTAGGAGTTTTGTAATAATGAGATTCTTTCCTTTAGGCCGAGTTTTATTTCAAGTTGAGGAATATTTGTTTATATCAAGTTAATTGGATTAATGTTGACTTTTGGGATTATAGAGAATATTTATTGTTGGTTTTAGTTCAATGAAGAGATTATTTTGATGGCCTTTTAATGAACGTATATTTTTGGAGGACTTTTCACATGTTTAGTCCTGCTCCAATATCCCTTTTAGGTTCGAAAATTGGGGTCGTGACAGATAAGCTATGTTGTACCATCATAATGATCGAGGAACATAACCGTACAGAATGAACGCAAAATGCTAGGAAAAACAGCAGCTTTAAGATGTTCGGCCCAAAAGAACAGAAGATCACCTGCGTCGAAAGCACGGATAATGCAGCACTTGTAAAATGTTGCAGCGACCGGAACTGAGAGTAAGTCAAGTACCCTTCGTTCACACTGCAATGTCATTAAGTATATGCGTTAGGACACTATTTACGCCCTTTCCCTGTAAGAAATAAGAATGTCCTCACACCTGATTCTTTCCCACTCATAAATAAGTACTAAAGCCAGAGTCACCTGTACGGATAACCTGAAGGGAAAAACTTGTTCAAAAAAGATTCAACCACTCTACGAACAAGGGGCCTCGAGTCATCAGCAACCCTCACCTGCAATCAACAGCCGTAATATGTCAGAACTTTCCAAGAGGACGTAAACCCGACGGGTCAACTTGTTAATTTAAGACACCTAATGCGCAGCACTGATGCATGCGGTAAGACTCTCGACAAATCTGGGGTATGGAACTACGGTTGCAGCATAAATGCGGAAACAAAAGGGATTACACCAAGGAATAAGCCGCCGTAACGAAGGAAGGAAGGAAAGGTAAATAAAAATAAAAATAAAAAGGGGTGCTTAACGCGTTAATAAAAATTTAAAACACCACAAATTTGAATGAGTGCATGTTACAAGTAAAATTCGTCAGCTTCTCAATCTTCATTCCACCAAGGAACTCAGTATTTGTAACACTTTGCAAACACATTCGACCTAGCTAGCGTTCATAGCATTTCGACGCCGATTTAGATTCTCAAAAGTAATAAAAATAAAATTGAGAATAAGGAGTAATAAAAAAAAAGGTGAGAGAGAGAGAGAGTTATACAGAGAGATGGCCGTGATGGGCGTCGAAGCGGCAGATTTGAGCGTGGGAGCCGGAGATCTCGATCCAGGAATCGGGCCGGCGTGGTTCTTGATCCCTAATTTTGTCCGATTCTTTCTTCGTCACTGTCATCATCTTACCCTAGAGAACAACAACAATAATGTTGACGACAGTAAATACCCAAAATTGAAGGGGAAATTTTTATTTTAATTTTATAATAATAAATAATAGGAAGGAGGCGGGGTACCAGAAAGAGCGTCCATCGAGGAGGAGGCAGAGAAAACGGGGAGTACGCTCGGAACTCGGGAGGACGCTGCGACGACGAAGAGATAAGATGAGTCCCGAAAGGAAATATTTGCAAAATAGACCTATTTTGCTAAAAAATTTATAAAACGGATCGTTTAGCTTAAATATTTAGCAAAATAGACATCTTTTTTACCAACATGTCAAAAAAAAAGATCGATTTTGCAAAACAGACCATTCGAAACATACGGGACTAGTAGTCCCGTATGATGTAATGCCCATTAAAGCATACGAGACTACTAGTCCCGTATGTTTCGAATTGTCTGATTTGCAAAACCGACCTCTTTTTGGCCAACAGGCCAAATATAGGTCTATTTTGCTAAATATTTGGCACAACTGTCTGTTTTGCTAAATATTTAGCGAAATAAGTCTATTTTGCAAATTTCTTCGTCCCGAAATGTATGAAGTCATGGCCATGGTGGACAAAGTTTATTGCTGCTCATATATTTATTTATTTATTTTTCTCCATGCATATATTTGATTCCATTATCATATTTATTTATTTTTCTCCATTTATTTATTTATTTATTTTTCTCCATGCATATATTTGATTCCATTATCATATTTATTTATTTTTCTCCATGCATATATTTGATTCCATTATCATGGATATTTATTTTTCTCCATGCATATATTTGATTCCATTATCATGGAGCTCGTCTGTAGCTACGGACTTCGCCTTTAAGGTTTGGTCGACACTCCAATTCCAACAGGCGAGCTCGAGGAAACCAACAGGCGAGATTTGAAGGCGAGAAGCTTCAGGCGAAGTTGGACGAGCTCGAGCAGGCGAGGTCGAGTTGGCGACCTCCAGGCGGGCTCGCGACAAGTTACAGGCGAGATTGGAGAACTTCTTGCAGGCGAGTTCGACAAGAGACAGGCGAGCTCGAGCTCCTCGTAGGCGAGATCGTTGACAGGCAACGACAGCCTGTCGCCAGCTATCCTAGGGTTTCCCTATAAAAGGAAAACCATGTGCCCTAGCCCCAGAGCTTCCTCTCTCGCGATCTCAAGAAAACCCCCCTTTGGCGGCGGACCTCTCTTTCTCTCTCTGTTCCGTTCCCTTTTTCTCTCCAGCTCTCAATTGAAGGATTTGAGGGGAGACTTTAAGAAGGGAATTAAAGATGGGTGAAAGAAATTAAAGGGGTATTAATGAAGAAGGGAATCTTCACTGTAGCTACAGTGAAAGATTGTATTTATTGAGGAATCTCAAATTTGAGATTCGCTCTTGAATTGTAATTCATTGTTGGGATTAATAAGAAATTAGTTGTGTGGTTCCCGAGGATGTAAGCAGTTGCCGAACCTCGTTAAATCTTGGTGTACTTTTTTCTATTCTGCGTTTCTGCTGTCTTAGGGGTTTCGGCGTAAATTCCCAACAGCCATGGCCATGGTGGACAAAGCTTATTGTTGCTCATATATTTATTTATTTATTTATTTTTCTCCATGCATATATTTGATTCCATTATCATATTTATTTATTTTTCTCCATGCATATATTTGATTCCATTATCATGGCAGACACAAGAGGTTATTGCTGCTCTTACCTTTATTTATTTATTTACTTTTGTCTTCATGCATGATATTTTGATTCTTAGCATATGATTATATTGATTCTATGATTAAAAAATTTGTTATGTATACAATGCTTAACTGTAGTTATAGGGTACAATAGGGTATATAGGTTAATTTTAGTATAGTTAATTAAATGGTGTATGATAATATCCTAAGATTATTTTAATAGGTATTCGGGTCTTAAGTTAATTAAATGGTGTATGATAATATCCTAAGATTATTTTAATAGGTATTCGGGTCTTAAGTTATACGGTAATTTTGATGGTTATTTGTATATGATTATTTTAATAGGTATTCGGGTCTTAAGTTATACGGTAATTTTGATGGTTATTTGTATATATTATGTGGGAATCTCAAGTGATTTCACTCTCTATCTCCGGAAATCGTCGTCGTCCTCCGAAAAGAGGGGATTTTAATTGATTCAAACCTTCACATCGACTTCAACCTGTACCAAGCCGTTGTCCTCTGAAAATCACCTTCTGCATCAACTGAGAAACACCATCACATGGAGTCCCTGCAATCTATCTCTTTCAACTGCCTCCTCCACGATTTCTCACTCTCTATTTCTCCCTCTCTCTCGCGTTAAAATTCTGAAAATAAAAGGGGCGAATCGACACATTGATTCTTTTTTCGCAATTTTTTTGAACCGTAGCGTTATCCAGAATGGTTGGGCGTAAAGCGTCTGTAGGTGGCTTTTCAAGTCTGCCGTCAAATCCCAGGGCTCAACCCTGGACTGGCGGTGGAAACTACCAAGCTGGAGTATGGTAGGGGCAGAGGGAATTTCCGGTGGAGCGGGCTGTCCTATTTTGGGTGAATTAGGATTTATAGAGGGTTAATCCCCGCCTTTAAACACTGTCACGTCAGAAAATCCGTGCCACATCAGTAGCTAAAAAATAGTTTAAGTCATCACGTGCCACGCACGTGACGAGCTCTCAACGGAAAACTATCACCGACGAGAAAAATGACCTTGTTGGTAAGTTGAATCAATTAAAATGTCTTAAAACAGGTTTGCCTAATTAAAATACCTTCTTGGTAAATGAGGTGGAATTAAAATACCAATATGGGTATTTAGCCCAATTAATGGACATAAACATTTGTTTACGAGGGAGAGAAAGTGTGAGCGGAATAAAAAACGATTTGTTCAAACAATACGTTCATTAAAGTCCAACATCAGAGTTAACTAATAAGTGAGTATGGTTCCTCCTCTTATTTGGAGCAATTTCTCTCTTTACTCTTCCTCTCTTTGACCGTTAGGAAGACCCAACACAACAGATTTCTTCAATAAATCTATTCCTCTATACAAATAGGAGAACCCGAGATTCACTATTCATGCTACAACAAATACTACAGTAACATTTACTGTAACAGCAACGCTGTAGCAAACATAAAATGAGGGCGAGTTTTTTTCGAAAATTACTGTAGCGCACTGGATACTGTAGCAGAAGAGGGGTGCTGTAGCAATTCAAAAATAACCGTAACAATTAAACCCGTAATTACTATAGCAAAGAAAAAAAAAAAGAAAAAAAAAAGGATGTCGTGGTTTGCACGATGTTCACACTAGTTATAGGAATCGAAGAAACTACCGCCCTCGACTTGAGGCCAGGTATTCCTGCAGCTTTCATCACCCGCGTCACCATGTTTACTTATCCGTCTTCTCTAGTAAATCTGATCTAATCTTCTGTTAAATATTTTATCCCGTCAAGCGCCTTGTTCGGCCCGCTTAATAGTGACGGTAATTAATAAATGACGATGATAGGGATGGGGCTGAGAGTCGTATTATTATTACTGTTGATCGTATTGAAAATGTGGCTGTCGATCTGGGGCCATGTGATGTGGGACGTTTCCCAATTGGCTAATAAATCTTGATTAGGGAGGAGACTTGTCTCTTTTCTACTGGGCTTTCCTCTTTTTTTTTTGGTTGGGGTCTTCCTGTTCTCTGACATCTGGCGTGTATTTTCCGTCGAAGCCGTTCCGTCTTGGGCCGACGCGATCGCCTGCAGATCGAGCAGCTTCGGCTTTCGATTCCTCCTCGGCTGCCCTCGCACCAGGTGTCCGTCTTTAGCCGACTCGTTTCGCATTTGTTTTCTTAGGCTAGCTTGATGTTTTTAAATTAAAATAAAATACAGGTCGGGACCCTGGACCTCGAATTGCTCTTCATTTCGTAGATTAATTAACAGAAGCTACGCATATATAGAATCCTCTTAATTATAAAGCTGCATGTGGTTTCAGGCGTCGCTTCCGGTTCCTATTTACTTTGTAAATAAAAATAAAATAAAAAAGGGTTCCTTTGAAGAATTCTGAAGCGCTTGGGTTGACTTTAAAATTGATGATGATTAATCAACTTGCTTCGATTTTTATTTATATATATCATGAGGTGTTTAATAAATTATAATAATGGTGGGTTTCTGTTTTCTAGCGTAGAGACCCCGCTCTCCTTTTGACGACTATGGGGAGTCGGTCGAAGACAATAGTTTGGTTTAGGAGGGACTTACGGATTGAGGACAACCCTGCCTTAGCTTCAGCCTGCAGGGGCGGCTGCGTCCTTCCCGTATTCATATGGAGCGCTGAGGAGGAAGGGCAGTTCTATCCTGGCCGATGTTCTCGCTGGTGGCTTAAGCAGTCGCTCGCCCACCTCGACAGGTCCTTGAGATCTCTTGGGGCCCCTTTTGTGTTCATTAAGGCAGAGACCACAATTGCTGCCTTGTTGCAGTGTATCAACGCGGTCGGGGCTACTAGATTGGTATTCAACCATTTGTATGGTATGTTATATTCATTTTCCGTGTGGTGATGCTTATATCCATTTTGATTTGGCGGTGTCTCTCTGTCAGTACTTGGTTTTGGGTAACATGGCCCAATCGTGTGTTCGGCGTTTTAGAATGGATTAGATCCTATTTATGAACAGTATGTGACCGAACAAGCTTCATCGATAATGTGTTGCATTCTTCGATATGGTACTACTAGACAGGAATGCGTGACTGATCAATAGTTAACCTCGGTCCTCAGACCATGTCTAGAAATGAAGAGAATCTTGGCCTCATTTTGTCTGTGATGTCGTATTGTAGTGCCAAATGCAGATATGGTTCTTCTCTTTTGCTATTGTATTCAAACACTACTATCATAGATGAATTTCACAGTTTGCATCAACTGTAGTTTACTCCTTTAATGACATGCTTAACTCATCATGTTCTGTTGACGACGTCCAAGAATCCAGAGCTAATGGAGAAAAAGGAATCATCGAGCATGCTTTAAAATTTGCGATGAAGACGTATACTTTTGTACTTGGCTCGTACTTACTTGGTTCCTAATTGATCCACATGTTAAATAGTTACTCCTACTTCGGAAACAATTTATAGCTGGCTACAAACATAGTTGATTCCTCGTATCATGTAAAAGACTAAATTTTTTTTGTCTTGCAAACTATTATTATCAGATCCTGTTTCGCTTGTCCGAGATCATAAAGTCAAAAGTCAGCTTGCAGATCTAGGAGTTACGGTGCAAAGTTTTAATGGAGATCTCTTGTATGAGCCATGGGAAGTTCATGATGAGGGCGGGCTTCCATTTACAACCTTTGACTCATACTGGGCCAAGTGCACGAGCTTGCCAATGGAACCGGCACTAGTTCTTCCTCCCTGGAAGTTAGTGCCACCAGAAGGTACCGTGTCCAGTAAATAAGATGATTAGTATAGAAATTTCATGAGATTACTTCGTTAGGTAACCTGAAATTGTTGAATACGTGCTTCAAGAATGCGAACATAGATAGAGTTCTTTGTTGGCTCACAGACAAATAAAGGTACAGTTCTGTAGAAGTTGTGTTTACCGCATGGTTGACCTTTACGTTTTTTTTGCTATATTAGGTGCTGAAAAGGTCATTAGTTGTTCCCTCGAGGAGCTTTGTCTAGAAAGTGATGCTGAGAAGTTAAGTAATGCGCTGCTAAGCAGGGCGTGGTCACCAGGTTGGAGTAATGCGGACAAGTTGCTGAATGAGTTCCTCAACAATCATCTCCTTGACTATTCAAAATATCGAATGAAGGTGGATGGTTCCACAACATCATTATTGTCACCGTACCTCCATTTTGGTGAAATTAGTGTAAGGAAAATCTATGGAAGTGTACGAATGAAGCAGATACAATGGGCAAAAGAAGAAAACTCCGAAGCAGAAGACAGTGTCAAGCTCTTTCTCCGTGCCATTGGTTTTCGTGAATATTCACGTTACCTTTGTTTCAATTTTCCATTTACGCATCATAGATCTTTGCTCGGGAACTTGACCTATTATCCGTGGCGTGCTGACGAGGGGGATTTCAAATCTTGGAGGCAGGGTAGGACGGGATATCCTTTGGTTGATGCAGGCATGAGGGAACTTTGGGCAACAGGGTGGATGCATAACCGAATCAGAGTTGTTGCTGCAAGTTTTTTCGTCAAGTTTCTGCTACTTCCGTGGACATGGGGGCTGAAATACTTTTGGGACACGTTGCTGGATGCTGACTTGGAAAACGACATTCTTGGTTGGCAATACATATCAGGTAGCTTGCCTGATGGTCACGAGCTCCATCGTATCGACAACCCAGAGGTAAACGATCTATAATTCTGTTTGCAAATAATTTTGTGCGTGTGTAGAATAACATCTTTTTACATTGTGTGCTATTATTTTCAAAAATCCATTGTACTTGATAAATGTGTGTACTATTTGTTGATTTGGAGAACTCTAAGCCACAAGCGTAGTGACACCTGAACCACAGGCATAGTCATCGTCTTTGTTATCATTATTTTGCACGCTTTTTGTTTTGAGAAGCTAGTGAATATGACACTTCATTGAAGCCAAACCTGCAATATTTGCTGTTGATACGTGATAAGCATCTGATATACTCGATGTTTTCTGTAATCACACAGTCAAAAAAATAAAAAAATAGTAAATCCTTTCTAGAGAAAATACAATAGTAAAAGGCCTAACTCGACACGTCTAAGATTTTGCTTCTACTGTTTATGACTGCCAATGTAGATTTGCCATATCTTGTTACATTCTGGAAATTGAATTGTTGTTTATTATGAGATTGAGGAAGAACCAAGGATGATGTAAAACATGGAAGATACAAGCGGAGAAAAAGAGACAAACACGTGTCACGATTTCTGTAAGGACGAGTTTGAATATGGGTATAAATTTCAGTGAACCATTGAATCTACCCAAATAGTTTAATTTTGACGATCCGCAGAAAATTATAGTTTATATCTTTGCCGTTGCATTAGTTTTCCCCCTTTTTTCTTTTGCTTTGAGTTGAGGTTCTAGCGGTAAGCCATATCTTAGGCTTTCAGGAACTGCAGTTTCAATGAATACAATCTGCTTCAGACCAATCAGTTCTTCTTAACAAGGGTTCAGATAGTAGTACGATCTTAAGCTGGATCACGTAGTATAGATTTCTTATGCCTTCCCCTTCGATGATTCATCTAGTTTGTTGGAAAAGTGAATTGGGTGAAGAAAAAAAGGTAGAGAAGGAAGAGACTAATGTATTAGGTTTCATTGTACATACCTACCTTCTTTATTTTGTGCATCAATTCTGCTAGTTCGCATATGATCCGGGACCATCAGAAGTTTGCTACCAAGTCAGAATAAGGGCTTGCAATTTCTTTGAAGTTCCCACGAGTATTTCACTATCTTGCATGTTTTGCTGTGAAATATCAAAAGGGATAGCTTATGCTTATTAACTTTTAAAATGCCTAAAGTCTTAAGCATGTTTTTTGTTAGATATATTTATGGTCATGTACTACTATTTTCATAATTATTCACCGTCTAGCTTGCTTTTGTGCAATCAAGGTTCAAGGTTACAAATTTGATCCTGGAGGAGATTATGTGAGAACTTGGCTTCCTGAACTTGCAAGAATGCCCACCGAGTGGATACACCATCCATGGGATGCTCCAAATTCCATACTCAAAGCTTCTGGTGTAGAGTTGGGAGTAAACTATCCCAAGCCTCTCATCGAGATAGATGAAGCAAGGGAACGCCTTGATGACGCTGTGTCCATGATGTGGGAATTGGATAGAGCTTCACGAGCATCCAAACTCAATGGATCAACTGAGGTCGTTGCTGACAATTTGCTCAACATAAATGTTATGGATATTCCAAAAATAGTAGTAAAGAAGGAAAAATTGCTGGATACTTCATCCCTTGACCAAAGGGTTCCTTCTGTTCAAAATCTAAAGTCCGGTGTGTGCGAAAAAGGATCAAACAAGTTAGATGGCAAAAAACCAAAAGGAGTTATTGAGACGAATGATGTGAAAAATAATGTTAAGGCCACGAAGGTAGATGAAAATGACTCGCTCTCTACTGCAGAATCTTCATCGACTAGAAAGAGGAGCTTGAGTGAGAGCCAAATGTGTGTCGTCCCCGCTTCTTGTTCTGCACCATCATATGGGAAACCCCAGTATGAGTATGATTCTTTCAAGCCATACGATTCTATCAAATCTACGCATCCATGGCAACAATCAGATGCATTTGGAGTGAAGGAGGTAAAAATATAAGCTTATGACTTTATACTCTTATCGTTATATGTACATACATCTATAAACTCGATCGAACTCATTTTCACCGTTTATGTTAATATATTCTTTTTACCAGTTTTTCATTGGCAATTTTTCGTGCCTTTTGGTTTATGCCATTTAATGTTTCCGACGTCACAGACAGAGCGCCTTTTTATCACCTTTTTCTTAACCGAAAACATGAGAGCTACTTTCTTATTTATCTGTTGATTATTCATTTTCTTTTTTTTTTAGAGAGAGGTTATTCGTTTCCTTGGTGTATAATTAGTTCAATATGTTGTTATCATTTAATCTTCCAGCGTCTTTGTAGCCAGTATATGCAACTTAAATTTCCTGATAAAAGTGATTACTTTCTAATGAGATCATGTAGTTAGAAACCCGAATGGCATCAAGTATGTATGTTAATTCCCTACTTATGAATAATTCATGTATTTTTAGTTTTATGTAATATATTGTTATTTTTTGTGTAGGTAGAGGGGAATGAAGCTGAGAGTGCCATGCAAGAAAGCCGCCTGAATCAAAAGCATTCAAATTGTGATTCCTCAGTAAATATGGGTTGTGGTATTTCTAAATATACAAGCTCGTACCTGGATGAAATCAGTTTTGAATTGTAAGAAATCGATATGCTGTCTCTGTTGTATCTGTGCTCGACATTACTTTCTCTCTCAGTGTCATGCGCATACAATAAGTGGTCCCTGTGTTATTAATCCTGTAACCGAACGCTTGTATACCTAATAAAAGCTTATTAGGGAGTTGGAAGCAGCAGCACTAAGTGTGTGTTATTTATTATTCACTGTTGTTTATTATTCACTGTTATGCATCATACTCTATATTTTGACAGCTCTTCGGATCTTCTCCCGTCCTAGTTTGGTTTTTGATTCCAGGTGTGATTGGGGTCCTTTCATTAATTAAATCGAATTTGCACGGATTCCCCCCTCCCTCCCTTTCCAATCAACACTCTGTTTGGATGGGAATGGGGACAGTGGAAGGTAATAATGTGGGTTGTTTTTGTAGCAAATAAATATTATAAGTTATTTAAATTTAGCAAGTTAGCAAACGTAAAAAATTCCATCTGAATGTTCTCATATGACATTGACATATTAATTTTATAACTTTCTAACCATTAATATTTATTAAATTTAGGGAAAAATGTGTCCAGGCCCCAAAAGTGGGAACTTCGTGTGACTAGCCCCCCTGTACTTTGCCCCATGTGGAATAGCCCCAAAAAATGGGCTTTAATGTTTTAAGCCCCCTCCACGTCAGCTTTATACTAAAAGCAGATGGTATTTTACAAAAAAACCGAAACTGCCCTTCTCTTTCTTCCCCAGACGAGTCCTGGAAGTCACTTCTCATTAATGCGATATGATGGTGAAAATGGAGGGAAATTTCCCCCTTTTTTTACTCCATCTAACTAGTTAGTTCTCCATTACTCCTCCTCCTCAGACCAAAATTCTCTCCATAACTCTCTCCATCATGAGCAATAACTAGTTAGTTCTCCATTACTCCTCCTCCTCAGATCAAAATGGCTGAAAAGGACATCATCTGCATTGTCTTTTCGCAGTATAAAGCGGTATTCTTGAAGATTAATTCTTCAACCACCATCTTGGATCTCAAGTTTGATGCGGCAGAGAGGTTAGATCTTCCATACGAGTCATTAATTTTGGCATACGAAGATCAAACAGTTGGAAGCTTAAAATTTCTCATTGAGAACGATGGTGATCTGACGTCTATGGTGGAGCATTGCCACAATCTTGGACTGAAAGAGGTTCACGTGCAAGCTTTTAAAGAAGGAGATGATTCTTCGAATAAACAGGAAAACGAGCAAGTCCGACAAGACATGTAGGTTAACTGTAAAATCAATTAACTTAAGTTCTAATCGTCTTCTTGTTAGTTCTATACTAGGTTTAACTGGACTTCAGTTCTAATGTTTTATTTGTCATTAAGCAGTTCTTTGTTATGCTCCATACTAGAGTTCTAATGTTTTATTTGTCAGTTCTAATCGCTATTTTGTTAGTTCTACTAGAGTTATTGCTGGTTCCACTATAGTTCCCATATTGTTAGTCCTAATTGTTATAAATTAGATATAACGTGGTATAAATTAGACAATGTAGGTATAAAATAGAACTAACAAGCCATCAGTTAGAACTGACACTAACACACTACAGATTAGAACTAACACTGTGCATATTATTAGAACTAACACGCTACCGAATAGAACTAACACTGTAGGGGATTAGAACTAACACTCTACAGAATAGAACTAACACTGTGCAGATTAGAACTAACACTCTACAGAATAGAACTAACACTGTGCAGATTAGAACTAACACTCTACAGAATAGAACTAACACTGTGCAGATTAGAACTAACACTCTACAGAATAGAACTAACACTGTGCAGATTAGAACTAACACTCTACAGAATAGAACTAACACTGTGCAGATTAGAACTAACACTCTACAGAATAGAACTAACACTGTGCAGATTAGAACTAACACTCTACAGAATAGAACTAACACTGTGCAGATTAGAACTAACACTCTACAGAATAGAACTAACACTGTGCAGATTAGAACTAACACTCTACAGAATAGAACTAACACTGTGCAGATTAGAACTAACACTCTACAGAATAGAACTAACACTGTGCAGATTAGAACTAACACTCTACAGAACGGAACTAACACTGTGCAGAATAGAACTAACACTCTACAGAATAGAACTAACACTGTGCAGATTAGAACTAACACTCTACAGAACGGAACTAACACTGTGCAGAATAGAACTAACACTCTACAGAATAAAACTAACACTGTGCAGATTAGAACTAACACTCTACAGAATAGAACTAACACTGTGCAGATTAGAACTAACACTCTACAGAATAGAACTAACACTGTGCAGATTAGAACTAACACTCTACAGAATAGAACTAACACTGTGCAGATTAGAACTAACACTCTACAGAACGGAACTAACACTGTGCAGAATAGAACTAACACTCTACAGAATAGAACTAACACTGTGCAGATTAGAACTAACACTCTACAGAATAGAACTAACACTGTGCAGATTAGAACTAACACTCTACAGAATAGAACTAACACTGTGCAGATTAGAACTAACACTCTACAGAATAGAACTAACACTGTGCAGATTAGAACTAACACTCTACAGAACGGAACTAACACTGTGCAGAATAGAACTAACACTCTACAGAATAGAACTAACACTGTGCAGATTAGAACTAACACTCTACAGAATAGAACTAACACTGTGCAGATTAGAACTAACACTCTACAGAATAGAACTAACACTGTGCAGATTAGAACTAACACTCTACAGAATAGAACTAACACTGTGCAGATTAGAACTAACACTCTACAGAATAGAACTAACACTGTGCAGATTAGAACTAACACTCTACAGAATAGAACTAACACTGTGCAGATTAGAACTAACACTCTACAGAATAGAACTAACACTGTGCAGATTAGAACTAACACTCTACAGAATAGAACTAACACTGTGCAGATTAGAACTAACACTCTACAGAATAGAACTAACACTGTGCAGATTAGAACTAACACTCTACAGAATAGAACTAACACTGTGCAGATTAGAACTAACACTCTACAGAATAGAACTAACACTGTGCAGATTAGAACTAACACTCTACAGAATAGAACTAACACTGTGCAGATTAGAACTAACACTCTACAGAATAGAACTAACACTGTGCAGATTAGAACTAACACTCTACAGAATAGAACTAACACTGTGCAGATTAGAACTAACACTCTACAGAATAGAACTAACACTGTGCAGATTAGAACTAACACTCTACAGAATAGAACTAACACTGTGCAGATTAGAACTAACACTCTACAGAATAGAACTAACACTGTGCAGATTAGAACTAACACTCTACAGAATAGAACTAACACTGTGCAGATTAGAACTAACACTCTACAGAATAGAACTAACACTGTGCAGATTAGAACTAACACTCTACAGAATAGAACTAACACTGTGCAGATTAGAACTAACACTCTACAGAATAGAACTAACACTGTGCAGATTAGAACTAACACTCTACAGAATAGAACTAACACTGTGCAGATTAGAACTAACACTCTACAGAATAGAACTAACACTGTGCAGATTAGAACTAACACTCTACAGAATAGAACTAACACTGTGCAGATTAGAACTAACACTCTACAGAATAGAACTAACACTGTGCAGATTAGAACTAACACTCTACAGAATAGAACTAACACTGTGCAGATTAGAACTAACACTCTACAGAATAGAACTAACACTGTGCAGATTAGAACTAACACTCTACAGAATAGAACTAACACTGTGCAGATTAGAACTAACACTCTACAGAATAGAACTAACACTGTGCAGATTAGAACTAACACTCTACAGAATAGAACTAACACTGTGCAGATTAGAACTAACACTCTACAGAATAGAACTAACACTGTGCAGATTAGAACTAACACTCTACAGAATAGAACTAACACTGTGCAGATTAGAACTAACACTCTACAGAATAGAACTAACACTGTGCAGATTAGAACTAACACTCTACAGAATAGAACTAACACTGTGCAGATTAGAACTAACACTCTACAGAATAGAACTAACACTGTGCAGATTAGAACTAACACTCTACAGAATAGAACTAACACTGTGCAGATTAGAACTAACACTCTACAGAATAGAACTAACACTGTGCAGATTAGAACTAACACTCTACAGAATAGAACTAACACTGTGCAGATTAGAACTAACACTCTACAGAATAGAACTAACACTGTGCAGATTAGAACTAACACTCTACAGAATAGAACTAACACTGTGCAGATTAGAACTAACACTCTACAGAATAGAACTAACACTGTGCAGATTAGAACTAACACTCTACAGAATAGAACTAACACTGTGCAGATTAGAACTAACACTCTACAGAATAGAACTAACACTGTGCAGATTAGAACTAACACTCTACAGAATAGAACTAACACTGTGCAGATTAGAACTAACACTCTACAGAATAGAACTAACACTGTGCAGATTAGAACTAACACTCTACAGAATAGAACTAACACTGTGCAGATTAGAACTAACACTCTACAGAATAGAACTAACACTGTGCAGATTAGAACTAACACTCTACAGAATAGAACTAACACTGTGCAGATTAGAACTAACACTCTACAGAATAGAACTAACACTGTGCAGATTAGAACTAACACTCTACAGAATAGAACTAACACTGTGCAGATTAGAACTAACACTCTACAGAATAGAACTAACACTGTGCAGATTAGAACTAACACTCTACAGAATAGAACTAACACTGTGCAGATTAGAACTAACACTCTACAGAATAGAACTAACACTGTGCAGATTAGAACTAACACTCTACAGAATAGAACTAACACTGTGCAGATTAGAACTAACACTCTACAGAATAGAACTAACACTGTGCAGATTAGAACTAACACTCTACAGAATAGAACTAACACTGTGCAGATTAGAACTAACACTCTACAGAATAGAACTAACACTGTGCAGATTAGAACTAACACTCTACAGAATAGAACTAACACTGTGCAGATTAGAACTAACACTCTACAGAATAGAACTAACACTGTGCAGATTAGAACTAACACTCTACAGAATAGAACTAACACTGTGCAGATTAGAACTAACACTCTACAGAATAGAACTAACACTGTGCAGATTAGAACTAACACTCTACAGAATAGAACTAACACTGTGCAGATTAGAAC